CATACTCTAAATAGATTAAAATAAATATATAAGGATGTTCACTGTAATATTACTTGTAACAGCAAAAACTTAGAAAACACCAAATTGCCTATCAGCTCAGATAGTAAACCACAGTACATCCATAGAATAGGATCTTATGTACCTGCTAAAAAAAAAGAAATAGGTCCCTACTGCTGCTGAGGATAAACCTCCAAGATACACTACAGAATATAAGCAAGGTATGGGTGTATACCTAAATATTCTGTATTGAAGTTCTGAAGGCATATATATATATAACTTAAAAGTGGTTACCTCTGAGAAACATGACTGAGAGAATATGACTTTCACTTTTTACTCTAAACTCTGCTGTACTGTTTGAATTACTTTCATTATATGTATTGGTTATTTCATTAATAAAAACAGTAACTATATGCAGTATTTCCTGCATGGTCTGCAAACACCTGTTTGCTCTCTGTAGAAGTAGAAAAGAGAACATTCTTTCCTTCTTCTTCAGACTTGAGCCTTCATATAGCAAACCACAGAGCCTACTAGTAGACAGGGACCACCCCTCCCCAACCAGTCCAGGTGAGGCCCCCACCCTCACTCACTGTTTCCTCTTTTCTGTGGCCTTGGTGCATGAATGAAGAGAAATTTTTATTTCTGTTCTTCTGATTATAGAGCTATAGAGTCCATCTCTGAAAAGCTAACTTGAAAGATGATGAAAAGCATGATTCCATCATAAAACATAACAAATAAAATCACTGCTTTCCCTAACGCTATTTATTACATAATTACAGTTGTCCCTTGGTAACCACAGGGGATTAGTTCCAGGAACCCCACAGACACCAAAATCCCAGTATACTTAAATCTTTCAGCACTTTGCAACCCACATAAATGAAAAGTCAATCCTCCGTATGAGGGTTTTACAGCCAGTGAATATTGTACTTTTGCTGATACAGAACCCACGGATATGGAGGGCCCACTATATTTACTGAAAAAAAATCTGTGTATAAGTGGATCCACACAGTTCACCCATGTTGTTCAAAAGTCAGCTGTATATTACAAAAACAAACAAATGAAAATGTTTTCCAATTCAAAGTATATCATCTGCCATTCTTCCAAGACCCATGAGATCCAGACAGATCAGGCACTAGTCTAACGGGTTTTCTGTTCCCGCTTAGAATCTTATGTTTGCCTACCTCAAAATACTAAACAACTCTTTCATCTAAAATTACCTCTATAAGAAAAATAATAGTATACTAAAGCTGAAAAGATGACATGGAAGCTACACTGAAAATTTCTGATGCTGAAGATCTCAAAGAATAGTTGAACTTCGTTTTGTACTTATTCTGTCAGAGACATATCTCCAACCCCGCTGCAGGGTGGGGGGAAAAAAAAAGTCACTGAAAAGTATGTTTCTCTTTTACCTATAATTTGACCTTGAGACTTGAGGTAGGGAGGCTACTTACTTAATATCAAGGGACCTTTCCAAACTGTATAAAAATAATCCTTACTATGTTTTCTTTTGTCAGAAGGTCATGATACATAGGTATTTATTACAATTTCTTTATGCGTTCATTCATTTATTTTTTAGCTTTACTGATAGAGAAAACAAGTTCATTATCACCTGAAAAAGTCTAATATCTCCTTAGCTAAAAACTACTACTACTCAATCTGATATTTTATAAGTATTACGACCAAAAATGTGACTTCACTTTCGGTAGTGAGGTATAAAAGTAATTAGTAAAATGAACAAAATTGTTGCCTGGTGCACTGAGCTGTCTGTGGTACTGAAAAATGACACCAAAGCTGAAATTTACTGAGCTGGTATCTTACAAAGCCTCCCCATCATACTGCTTTAATTCAAGCACTTCCGTCCATGACTCACCTGAACCATCTTATTTTGCCAGAGTGTGTATAAACATTTTATAAAAGGTCACACAGACTTGCTTTCCAAGGTTCTCCATGAAAATGTCAGGGCCTCCTCTTGCTTCATTAAGCAATTCCAGAGGACATAGAGCCAGAAAGTCAGTTATAACACTTACTTTTCCTGAATGCAGTGAGAAATCACATCATGCACCAAAAATCTACACTGGCTAGCTTTAACTATCTGATTATCATACTGATATGCTAAAAAGAAAAAGCAAAACTGTTCTTTTAGATTATATGCTACATCCAAGGACATGGTATGAATGGCAGCATAACCTTGCATTTAGTTTTTTAACTCAAAGTTAATTGATATATTTGGAATCATTTAGCATGAGTTGGGAAGTGCTCATTAGCTTAAAACTTTTTATGAAAAAAATACACGTACAGCAGTGACATCAATAAATAAACAAGGAGGGGGGCGTAATTCATCATTTTCCACGCATATACATAAGCCTGGGCAGTTGGTTTCATTGCGTTTCAGAGTAAGGTATTTGACAGCCCTGTTGACGCTCTTCTCTGGACGAATTAGAACATCTCTACTTTTTTCTGGTTCTTGACTTCTATTTCAGGGTCTTCACATTTATTTGACCCTTCTCCATTTTATTTTATTTTTTAAATAAAAGTATCTCATATAAGAATTTGGAGTTTCAGCTTAAAGGAGAAATCCCTCTACATAATATACCGAGTAAAAAACCTACATTCAAAATAATTAAATGATATGACCCAAGCATCTATTTTGAAATTATCTTAAGTGTAGTGAGTTTAACAGAAGCCACATATCACATAAAATAAACCCAATTTTAAAACATATAACATTCTATAACGTTTATGTTGCCCAACAGTAAGGAAGTTCATTGTGCATATTTGCCGTGGAGGGTCATTCCATGTCATTTTTCTCACCCATGCAATACATACCCTAATCAAAATACATATGCACATGCATAACTGAAATCATCCTCAAAATTACCCAATGAGTGGAATGCTTTCAAGCATTAATCTATAAAAATATGAAGCTTTTTTATTAATTTCTGTAAATTTCAAGCATTCTAATATGATACCAATTTCTTTAAATAAATAGTTAACATTTGGTAGCTCTTCTTAGACTCCTATGAATTACTTCAAAAAATCTCCCAGTGATTCTTAAAGAGTCAGTGTTTTCAAGACACTTTGTTCTTGATGTTAATACCAGCAAATGTCTTCCCCCATGAATGTTTGTTTAGCTGTGTGATTTTCACAAGGAACAGGCAATAACACAAAGGTGATATTTAATAAAACCCAGCAAGGTCTCTCATTTCAGAATCACTAAGCAAAACATTTTTCAAGTTAACTTGATTTTTAAAAATATGTAAGAACGTTTTGGAATAATCTTTTAAGTTTAAGTGAATTTATATACCAAACTTTTGGATTTAGAGGGAAATTGCAGAAAAAGAAATATCCATGTTTCAGGGTTTTTGGCATGTAGCAGCAGATCGCAGAGGGAAGCATTATGGCCTGGAAGCTAGGACAGGGTTGGTTCTCACTGTGCACTGTCTAGCTGTGTGGCCCAGCAAGCTACCTCTGCTGATTTCAGATTCTTTATCTGTAAACTGAGTCAAAGGACCATTAAACCTATTTTGTTCCTTCCAGCTCTGTCTACTCTTCAAGTCAAAATGAAAAGACAAATTTCTAATGTTTAAGTTATATTTTAGTATCTCTTTAAAATCTTCAAAAAGAATCTCAAAAGCCCACCATCCCTAGTATTGAATTAAAGATGAATCTATGTAAACTGTTAAAACTTTAAAAAATTTAAATGTGTTCATCTCATTTTGGCAGTGCAGTTTTGTTATTTATTTCCCGAGTAGTCTCACTCTTTCTAATTATTCTCCAACCTCATCCCTTCAAAAACACATTTTTCAAAGTTTTACAAATATAAAGGCAAGGTGAAATAATTTCTCCCTCCGCACTTGGAGTAATGTGCATCATTATTTTGTCTGGGCAATCATTAAAAATGATTTCTCCCATATTTACTTTGTGTTTGCTAGTTACTAATTTAAAATTAATTTAATTTAAATTAATACTAAATGACTTCAATGGCAAATCCTATATAAGGTTTTAAATTGAAAGGCAGCTTAAAACTGAGGCAGTCTAAAGGAAGATGGCCTAAATTAAGGGTCTCATAGTACCACCAAATGTCTAACAACTGCTCAAAAAAGAAAAAAAAAATCAGAAAATACATAGTGCAAATTCTCACGCACCAGGACCACAGGTCTGAGCCACCACACCTCCCACACAGTGCAAATTCTAAGCTGAAAAAAATCCCAATCTAATTTTCGAAAACTCTATACTTAATTTAATTTAAAAGCCTTAATATTCCTTTGTAGGCTAACAACTGACAAGATGACCCATAAGTTTGATAGAGCATTCTGATATGGATACTAACAGCCAAATATAGAGCTCCTGGCTGCATTTAAACAAAATAAATATTAGGGGAAAAAAAAAAAAAAAACCTCACAAGGACAGTGGCCTTAACTGTTAAATTACATTTTTAGAAATTCTTAATGATTGGATATACACAATTTGCATTCTAAACTTACAACAGTTTTTTTTTTAATGGTGGGGGATTTAGGAAATGGTTAGATCTTTTCCCATATCTCATTTAATAAATTAGCCAGCAACTCATCACTCAATTTTCTTCTCTATCCTAAATTATATAAGATTATATAGATACAATCTCCCATAATGACGCACCCACTAGGAAGAGGTATCTCAGACAAGAACAAAAGTTCATTCTAGATTAAAACTAGAGCATAACTGGCCTTAAGGAACAAAATGTGACTGATCTGGAGAAAAGGATCCGCCTATTGAGGGGAAGTAAAAATCTTGAGTCCAACAAATACATCTCCGAAAATGGTGCATGCTTATTTGCTACCCTGCCTTGTGTTGTTTTCCACTTCCTGAAAGAACAGGTCAGGTGCTAACATAACAATACAGCGTGTGTCTTCTGTAACCTCAAGCAAGGACATGACGGCTTGGAAAAAGCCTCTGCTGCCTCGCGTTTCTCTAGGCTGACTGCAGGGCTTTGGGTCATTCATAAACAGCAGGACCTAAGTTACCTGTATTTCCCTGGCGTGGTACACGATGATCAGACCGAGCAGGATGATCGTGGAGAGACTGATAAGGCATTTCAGAGCTAAGGAATACAGCGACGCCTGCAACACAGATAGAAACACTTTTAAGAAAGAAGCACTTTTAACCACCTTCCAGGCCCCCAGAGTCAGTCAGTCCCCCATTGGTGGACCTGAACTCACAGAAGGAAGGTTAAGGGGAGAGGGGTGCACCTGTCCTGGCTCTGTGATCTGTCTGATCATTCAGCCTCAAAACCAAGAGATGAGAGTAGACCTGGAAAGACTGGAAAGACGCGTGGCTGGGCTGCCGGGTCCACGCCATAGAGGAACGAAGCGCTGCTGCTCCAGGCTAGCAAAACCAGAGAGGAACTTCCTCCTGAGTTCAAGAGAGCGGGTTGAAAGGGCCCTCCTAAACATAATTCACCAGGGGATGAACACAGGTGGTTTCCACTGACTCCCAGAACCACTTACTAAAGGTGCGCGAATGCGCTGGGCACTCTTAACTGCCTTGAGAACTTTGGCTGCACGCGGAAAGGGTTCATCTCTGAGTTGTTTAGCTGACTAGGGATGCGCGTACTAGACGCGCCCGCTGTCCTGGCTGGCTCATTTGATAGTTCTGGGGAGGCTGGGACCCGCAGGCAAAGGGTCCCCGCCAGTGCCCATCCCAACCACCCAGTGCCCCGACTCCAGTAGCGTGGGCAAGGGTTCAAGCCGGTACCTTGTCGTAGGCGCCCCACGACAGCTCGGTCTCGATGACCATGACCACGATGCCGAACATGCCGAAGATGAGCGCGTAGTCGCTGAGCCGCTTGCGCTTTTCGAACAGGGCGCGCCGGTGGCCCAGCTTGTAGCCGATGTTCTGGTTTTTCTTTTTGCTGGACTTGGTGCCACTGCTGCTGCCGTGCCCGCTCCCGCCACCGCCGCCGCCTCCTCCGGTGCTGCCTCCGCCGCCGGTTCCATAGAGCGCCAGGTTGTTGGAGTTGTTGTGCTCGGGCTTAGACACCACGATCTCGGGGGCTGAGGACGAAGCGGCGGCGGCGGCGGCGGCGGC